GAGCAAATAATCCAAGAAACTGGATCATATGAAGAAGAATGTGATAGCAGGATTGGAGGAAGACTCATTAACAACCTGTGATTGGCTCATTTCATTTAACATAATGTCTTTAAATTCCTTCCATACTGTAACATATATCAAGACTTCACTTCTCCTGCTGGCTGAGTAGTATTCTACTGTATGCATGAACCACATTGTGTTTATCCATTCATCTGTTGGTGTGTATTTAGTTGTGTGATAGATATATTTACAGCAATGTAAAGGAAAAGAAAAGAGCAACTTATATACAACCAAATGCTTCACGGAATTTGTTTCCTTGGTTTGGAGGTTCAGGGTCATGTTTTCATGGGACCTCTCAGGTAACTGCACTAATAGTGTGTTGAACATTTCTGTTCTCTTCCTAGAGTGTTGCATAGTGCCTGCAGTATTAAAAGGCTGCAAACAGCCATCCAAGGCACACCGATTGATCTCTATTCACCTGGAGCAGTAATAATGGAAGAAAATGCCCAAAGAAAAGGGATCCGCTTTTAGAAATGTGAATAAAACAGAAGTCACTTGGATTATTCCTATCAAGGTCACAGGTACTATTCCAGTCCCCCCTGGAACCCCTTTAAATGATATCACTTCAATACTTTAATGGTATATGTATATATATATAAACATGGTCTGGGACATAGTTCACACACACACAAGACTATAGAGTCCTGTCTGTCTGACATTTCTCATCTGAAAAGGAGACAGTGTAACCCTCCCTGGTTGTGGTTGAGGTTTAATTTAATTTTATTTTTTTTAATGTTGGAGTCCTGGTGTGGCACTGTAGGATAAGCGCTCGACCACACGGTTGGTTGGTACCCCAAGGTCAGCAGTTTAAAAGCATCAACTACTCCTTGGAAATCCTATACAGGGTGGCTAACTGCATGGCACTTAACAACAACAACAATGTATGTTACCATATGATCCAGCCATTCCATTCCTGGGTATAATCCAAAAACAATTGAAACCAGGGACTCAAACAGATGCCTGTATACCAGTACTCACAGCAGTATTAGTCACAATAGCTAAAAGGTGGAAACAACCCACGTGTCCATCAGCAGATGACCAGATAAACAAAATGGGCTACATGCATACATAGCACAGTAGAACGAAACACTGCCCAATCCTGGGCCAACCTCACTACTGTTGCCACGCTTGAGTTGTTGTAAGTGACAGTTAAGTAGGTTCTGACTCATAGTGACCCTGTACAGGATTTCCAAGGAATGGCTGATGAGTTTATCACCGACCTTGTGGGTCAAATCGACCTTGTGGTCGAGTGCTTTATCCCATAGTGCCACAAATCCAATCACTGATGAATTACTAAGAGGGCAGTTCATTCACACGGGGGAAACAGAAGACATGTGAGGATGGACAAGCAACTCCAAGGAAGCAAGAACCATCTAAGGCTACCCACAGTGAAAGACTCAATCAACTTGGCCAACACTGATTTAGATGTTTAGTCTCCAGAACTGTAAGAAGATAAATTTCTCTTCTTTAAAGTACAAAAGAGAAAAGAGAATGCATGTAAAGCATTTAGCCCAGTGTTCAGGCTTAGATACTAGTATTAGCTATTCATAGTCTCAGCTTTAAGGAGCTCTGGTAGCGTAGTGGTTACGAGATGGGCTGCTAATCTCAGGGTCAGCAGTTCAAAACTATGAGCTGTTTTGCGGGAGAAAGATGAGACTTTCTGCTTCCAGAAAGATTTACAGTCTCGGAAACATTATACAGGGTCACTATGAGTCGAAACTGAATCCACAGCACATAATCACCATCACCATCAGTCTCAGCTTCATAAATGTTTGTCAGGGAAGAAGGGCAAGAGGGAGCTGAGGAAGACAAGGATAAAGGAGAGATGGGCAGAGAGCAGTCTGGCTCTCTTATTTCATCTTCTCAGTGAGCTGAAGATGGTAGGCAGGTATCGTCTGCCCTCTCCTGCAGGAACAATCAATCCCTCCTCTGCCTCATTCATTTCTCAAAGTGGCTGTTTTGGAGGCATGGATGTGACATATCAGGGCAGACATCTGGGTCACTGCCAAGGGTAGGAGCCAGGGGAGAGATCATACTGAATACTCTAGGGCAGAGCAGAACAGAGGGTCCTCTCTGAAAGAACAGCCTTGTCACTGCTCGGCGCTGTTTGCAGATCACACAAGGAGGCCAAGGCTGGCGGGTTTGTTTGTCCTTGGCCCACATTCCAGGACCTGATGGGAAGAAACAGGAACAGGGAGAGCCTGGTGCCTCCTCTTTGGGGGACCATGTACCTGATAAATTGCGTTTTTATGATAAAATTCACAATGCTGAAAGGCCCAGGAGCCAAAAACTTGGGTTGGGTTCCTAAAGAAGAATGAATTTCAGAGTTTTCTGGCCAACCCGTACACCTCTGAGGGAAAAAGATTTAAAAAGCCTGTTGCCATCAAGTTGATTCCAACTCACAGAGATCCTACAAAATGGAGAAATATTGTCCCTAGGTTTCCATGTTTGTAAGTCTTTACAGAAGCAGACTGCTACATCTTTCTTCTGTAGAACTGTGGGTTGGAATTCTCAATCTTTTGACTAGCAGCCAAGCACTGAACCATTGCACCACTAGGTATGCTTGAGATAAAGAACACAACCACAACAACAAAACCCAAACCCACTGTTGTCCAGGTGACTTTGACTAGTCGTGTTCTTACAGGGTAGGGTATAACTGCTCCAGAGGGTTTCCAAGGCTGTACTCCTCTTAGTTTGAACTGATGACCTTGTGGTTTACAGTCCAGTGCTTATCCTACAGCGCCACATCAGATGGAACACAAACTATCTGAGCCACCCAGGGACCTTGGTTAGAGCAGAAACCATCCTAATGGGTAAGTCCCATGGATGGGAGCATCAGGGGGCCAGTCAGTTGTCCTGAGAAATAACATCATGGGAAATGCTCTGCTTTCTTTTCTGCTCTGAAACCTGGGGACCAGGGAAAGTATTCACTTTTGTTTCTGTTGATAAAATGTTTTCTCACTGCAGAAATCTATAAAATACAGAATAGTACCGAGAAAGGAAAAAGAAATAACTGGAATTATGGGAGATCTTCATTTTATTCCACATGCTTTTTTTGTATTTTCAAGTTTCCTACAAGGAATTTTACTATCACAATTAGAAAATAAACTAGCATAAATTGTCCATACTTTAAAAGTCCAGCCTGTCCCTGCAATCTCTCTTCCTTTGGCTCTGTTTTCACAGAGCCTGGAATTGTGCCATCAGTTAGACCTTTGTCTTCAGGCCTTAGTGAGCATGGGTTGAAAGTCCAAAGACTCAAAGGTTAGCATAAAAACAGTTGCTTTCTAGTCAGTTTTGACTCATGGTAACCCTATGTATTTCAGGGTAAAATTGTGTTCCATATAGTTTTCAGTGGTTGAGTTTTCAGAAGTTGAATGCTAGTATTTTCTTTCAAGGTACCTCAGGGTAGACCCAGACTTCCAACTTTTCTGTTAGCAGCTGAGTATGTTAATCATTTACACCATTCTAGGACTCCTTAAGAAAGCCACTTACCTCCATGGGCCCAAATGAATCTGCCTCTAAACTGGGAATGCCTTTATGAAGCGCCCCATAGAGCAATTAACAGTCTCCTAAGGAGCTCTGGTAGCGTAGTGATTATGAATCGGGCTGCGAACCTTAAGGTCAGCGGTTTGAAACTACCAGCCGCTCCGCGGGAGAAAGAGGAGGCTTTCTACTCCTGTAAAGATTTACACCCTCGGAAACCCTGTACAGGGTCGCTATGGGTCGGAACCGACTCGACGGCACTTAACAACAAACAACAAGGAGCTCTGGTAGCGTAGTGGTTACGAATCGGGCTGCTAACCTCAAGGTCGGAAGAAAGATGAAGTTTTCCGCTCCCCTAAAGATCTACAGCCTCGGAAACCCTGTCATTATGAGTCGGAACTGACTCCACGGTACTTAACAACAACAATAAGGAACCGCAGAGATTCCTGCTGGATGACAGGAAACAATTACTAACGGCAACAGTGTCCAAGTCAGTTAAAGCTACTAAAGCCATTTGCCTGGCAGGGAATAAAGGGTGGGTCATGCACTGGTCAGGCTCTGTCAGAGCTGCGTAGAGTCCCAGTCCAGGGTGCTCCTCCCAGCAGCCTCCAGCAAAGCAGAGGAGGGGAAGCACAAGAGCCCCCTGCCCAGGTTCTCTACTCAGGAACAGCTAGAAGGTCCCTTCCCTGACCACTGGATATAGTCCAGACCTCTTGCACTCTGACTCCAGCCCATTGCCCCATCCTCATCCGGCCATATTCACCTTCTACCACATACTCCAGTCACCACTAGGCTGTTTGAAGACTCTAAGCCTTTGTGCATACTGTTCTCTCAGCACTATAGGATTCTCCCTTTTCTTATTTGATTAGCATTTACTCAGGGTCTAAGATCTAATTCCCATGCCACCACTCTCCATGCCTGAGAGAGCTAGGAGTACTGTTGACTGTTTCCCAAGAATCCAATTCAACTTCAGTCATTGTACAAGGTCAGACAAGATTTTACATCTGTGTATGTGTGTGTATATAAAACCAAAACACCAAAGCAGTTGCTGTTGAGTTGATTCTAACTCCTGGCGACCGCACGTGTGCAGAATAGAACTGTACGCTACAGGGATTTTAAGGCTGTGATCTTTGAACAGCAGACCATCAGACGTGTCTTCCCAGGTATCTCTGAGTGGATTCAAAAATGCTTTCAGTTAGTAGACCAGTACTTCACTGTTTGCCCCACCCAGGAACTGACTATGTGTCTATTTGTCTATAATGTACACAGTTTCTGGACAGAAGTTTGTATTGCTGCAATCATAACAGGGGTTGTGATAATGACCCTTATTAATCTTTGCTTCCCCAGCACTGGCAAAAGTAGGCACCAGCTACACATCTGTAGAGCAAGCACATGGAAACACATTCCTCAAAGGGAAACACAGGGAATAGGAAGTCACCCTAAGGCCATGGACTCACCGGGTGGTCTGCATCCAGTTCTGCTCCGTAGCTGAGAATCTGATTGGCAAATCGATCCAGCTCTTGAATGGTTCTGGGGAACCAGGGCACTACAACACAGAAAATCAGAGCAGCAGGGAGGTTTGAACCACTGATCACTTGGTTAGCAACCTAAGCACTAACCCACTTTAGCCACTGCCTCATGATATAGCAGAGTGTTTTTAATGATTTTATTTAGCAGCAGGACATTACACGCAACTCCACAATATAAATTAGATAAAAACCAAAATTGCTCTGTTGGAAGTAAGGCTGAGCCTCTGAGATCGTCACCCTGCTCCCCATCATGTCTCCTTCCGAAGGCCTCAAGCATCCTGCAAAGTCCTTTGATCCCATGTTGTTGTTAAGCGCCCCTGCGTCAGTTCCCACTTACAGCAATCCTGTATCATTTCATAGGAGTGGCTGGTGGTGCAACCTTGTGGTTAGTAGTCCAGAGCGTATCCTACAGCTTCACACAGAACTTCAAGTCAGTTTGGAAACTGGTAAACAGGAATGAACTGAGCCAAGTGATCTGGGATTTGAAGATGCCCCGTGGCTCCTAAACAAGTCCCTGAGCTTGTTTTGGAATAGTACAGTGGGGGAGGAGAAGGGAGTCCTGGGTTGTGTAGCCCACAGTGACTGCAGAGGGAAGGACCCCAGAGAGAAGAGTGGGTGGCAGCATCCAGATCCCTGTGGCTTACACAAGAGAACACACATTGGGGAGGGATTATTGCTGTTAAGTGCTGTCAAGTTGGTTCCAACCCATAGTGACCCTGTATCAGGCTTCCTAGGAGGAGTAGCTGGTGACCTTGAACCACCGACCTCACAGTTCAAGCTGACTTTGCAGTCTAGTGCATAAACCCACAGCACCACAAATCTGGGACTGCAAGTTTCACCAGGGCAGGGGCCATGAGAGTCCGTACAAGTTTCCAGGCACATGGAGGGCAGGAATACAGGGAGGAAGGAGAGGAAGGAGGAAAGAGGCAGAAAGAGAGAGAGAAAGAGAAGAGAAGGAAGGGCTGAAGGAAGGGAAGAAGAGATCATGGGAGAGAGGAAGACGCTCTGGCTAACTTCTAAGGAACTGATTAATCACAGAAACCACCTCCACACAATGTCCACTCTGGTCTTGTGGCCGTTTCTGGAGAGTCTCCAAAATAAGGAAGGTATTATAACCCCTATGATTCGCATGAGAAACCAGGCTCTGGAAGTCTAAACTGCGGGTTTAAGATCACACAGGAAGTGAGAAAATGGTAGACATCCGTAGAAACCAGAGGGCAGTGTAAACATGGTGGGAAGTCAGGAAGGGAGTCCAAGGCATCCAATGTTTCCCTGGAAACGAGGTTTAGAGGAGAAGATGCCCAACTTGCTGTCAGGCAGGTCTGGTTCAGAATCCAGTCTCCACCATCTGCCTACTATCCTCTATGCGCTTCAGTTCCCACCTCCATAAAAACAGACCAACAATTGGAAGATTAACAAGCTGTTAGGTTAGGATCAGTACTGGATTGTTAACTGTAAAGTCAGCAATTCAAACAGCATGTTTTCCTCAGGAGAAAGATGAGGGGTTTCTGTCCCACCCCCCACCACACCGCACAAGATTTACAGTCTGGGAAACCCTCCCTCCGCAGGGTGGCTATGAATCAGATTTGACTCCATGGTAATGAGTTTGCTTTTGGTTGGTGTTTAACATTTCTGGTGGAACATCTTCTTTAATCTGAGGACTGCTGCGAGGAATAAAGGACACAGCCCGGTGTCAGGCACATAGATGGTGGCTCAACACTGTATCCTCCTTGGTGGTGGTGGTGGTGGTGGTGGTGGTTATGTGCCGTGGAGTCAGTTCCAACTCATAGTGACCCTGTACAGGGTTTCCAAGGCTGTAAATCTTTACGGGAGCAGAAAGCCTCATCTTTCTCCCGTGAAACAGCTGGTAGTTTCAAACTGCTGACCTTAAGGTTAGCAGCCCGATTCATAACCACTACGCCATCTGAGCTCCTTAGTGGTAAGTAAAGGAGCCCTAAGGGCACAATGGGTTAAGCTAATGGTAAGGTCTACAGTTTGAACCCACCAGTCACTTCTTAGGAGAAAGACGAGACAGTCTGCTCCTATACAAATTTGTTGCTGTTGTCAAATGCCAGGATGTTAATTCCTACTCAAGGTGACCCTGGATAGGAGGAGCGGCTGGTGAATTTGAACTGCCAACCTTGAGGTTCAAACCAACTTTTTGGTCCAGAGAATTATCCTGCAGTGCCACACCAGGACTCCTACAACTTCAGAAACCCTATAGAGCAATTTAACCTTGTCCTAAAGAATCCACTTTATGGCCTACCTGCGATAGGGCAGGAAAGAACATGTGTGCCATCTAGTGGCTGTACGTGGGAAATGTCACGATATAAGCATGAGAACTTCAGGGAGAAAAATCAGCTGCATAAAACATTCCTCCAAAAACCACGTTTATCTCCACGGTGTTAGTAAAGGCCACTTATTTCCACAAATCTAAGGTTCTTGATGGAGTCCTGGTGTGGCAATGTGGTCTAATGCGCTGGACTGCAAAGTCGCTTTGTACCGCAAGGTCGGCAGTTCAAGCTCACCAGCCACTCCATGGAAGTCGTATACAGGTTCACGATAGGTCGGAACCGACGTGACGACACTAACAACAACAGCAAGGTGCTTAAGCTTATATTATCTGCTCAGAATTATAATAAAAAGTAAGGGTCAGTGCTGTTCCAAGTACATTATCCATTTTGTAGGCATGACAGGTATCACCACAGTGTTGTGAGGTGCTGTTGATTTGATTCCAACTCATAAAGACCACATGTGATAAGTAGAGCTTCCCCAGAAGGTTTCCAGGCTGTAATTTTTATTGACTATTGTTGTTGCTGTTGTTATGTGCTGTGGAGTCGGTTCCGACCCATAGTGACCCTGTACAGGGTTTCCGAGGCTGTAAATCTTTATGGGAACAGAAAGCCTCATCTTTTTCCTGTGGAACAGCTGGTAGTTTCAAATTGCTGATCCTGAGGTTAGCAGCCCAATTCATAACACAAGGTTTTCAGTTGTGTGGATTATGAGAAGCTATGGACAACATTGCAAAGTATGTGTATTCCGGAACACTTAATTGTGCTCATGAGGAACCTGCATACAGACAAAGAGGCAATTTATTTGATCAGAATAAGGCAACGCTGAATGGTTTAAAATTAGGAAATATCTGTGTCAGGGTTGTATTCTTTTAACATACTTGTACAATCTGTATGCTGAACAAATAATTCGAGAAGCTGGATTATGTGAAGAAAAATATGGTATCAGGATTGGCAGAAGACTCATTAACAACCTGCCATATGCATATGATACAACCTTGTTTGCTGAAAGTGAAGAGGATTTGAAATACTTACTGATGAAGATCAAAGACCACAGCCTTCAGAATGCATTGCATCTCAATTGAAAGAAAACAAAAATCCTCACCAGTGGACCAATAAACAACATCCATATAAATGGAAAGAAGATTGACTTCATTTTGCTCAGATCCACCATCAATACTCATGGAAGCAGCAGACAAGAAGTCAAACGATGTATTGCATTAGGCAAATTTGCTGCACAAGAACTTTTTAAAGTGTTGAAGAGCAATGATGTCAGCTTGAGGAGTAAGGTGCACCTGACCCAAGCCTTGGTATTTTCAATAATCTCATATGCATGTGGAAGTTGGACAGGAAGAATAAGGAAGACTGTAGAAGAACGGATGCATTTGAGTTACGGTGTTGGAGGAGAATATTAAAAGTACCATGGGCTGCCAAAAGAACAAATAGATCTGTATTGGAAGAAGTGCAGCCAGAGTTTTCCTTTGAAGCCACAATGGCCAAACTTCGTCTCTCATACTTAGGACATATTATCAGGAGGGACCAGTCACTGGAGAAGGACATCGTGTTTGGTAAAGTGGAGGGTCGGGAAAAAAGAGGAAGACCCCCAAAGAGATGGATTGGCACAGTGATGGCAGTGATGGGCTCAGGCTTAACAGCGATTGTGAGGTTGGCACAGGACAGGGCAGAGTTTTATTCTGTTGTGCACAGGGTCGCTATGAGTCAGTACTACCTTGATGTCACCTAACAACAATCTTTACAGAAAAGAAATCTGGTGGTGCTGTAGGATAAGCACTGGACTGTTAACCACAGATTGGCAGTTCAAATCCAGTTCTAGGCTCCTAAAGCCCAGTCTACTCGCTATGGATAGATATTATTTATAGAGCGCTTGGCATGTGTTAAACTGGTTGTGTGGTGGTTAAGTGTGAGACTGTTAGTGGAAAGATTGGCAGTTTGAACCTACCAGACGCCCCATGGGATAAAGATGTGGCTGTCTGCTTCTGTAAAACTTGACAGTCTTAGAAACCTTCAGTCCTATAGGGTCACTGTGACTTGGAATTGACAGCTATGGGGATGTGCTAGGCAGGAGTCTTGGCCATGCTGTGGCTAAATGCTTGGCTGCTAACTGAAAGGTTGTTAGTTCAAACCTACCAGCATCTTCACAGACAGAAGACTTGGTAGTCTGCCCCTGTAAAGAGCCCAGCCTAGAAAGTCCCATGGGGCCACTCTACTCACAATTGACTCAATGAGACCCACAGCAACATGTTCTAGGCACTGTCCTAGACACTTCACATAGCCTACCTCATTCTAGCCTCACAAAACCCCCGGAAGTAGAGGTTATTATAATTCCCATTTTACAGATGGAAAAACTGAGGGACAGGGGGATAAGTCTGATGATAGACCTCTGACCTCCTTGGTCCCAGCTGCCTTGTCCTCAGAGCCTGGAAAAACTCAGCACCAGGCTCCACTTACCTAGCAGGGAATCTGACTTCCTGCTTCACTGCCTGGACCCCTACCCAAGCCTTCTTCTCTCTTATTAAATAAAAACTACCAGTGACCTGCCTTACACAGTGACTAGAAATGGGGTCTGTTTCCCACAAGAAGACTTCCTTGTAGTCTGGCTCTGGATCTCCTATGAGACTATTCCTGTTTCTCCAGAAGGCTGCTAATGAGGGGCTGCACTGAGAGACCCACCTGGACTAGGGGCCCGTCCCTGTCCTCAGCACTTT